TGGGGTCAGTTTCACGTCCCGGGCCTCCTGCGCCTGGCCGGGCTCAATCCAGAGCGAAACCTGTTTCCATTCGGCACGAAAAGCGGAAACCTGCCCGGCCCGGCCCCCTTTAAGCCCGGCTGGGAGGTTTAAAGAGACGCGCTCGGCCCGCCCCTTCCTGCCCCGGCCTTTGGCAGGGGAGCAGCCCCCAGCCCCGCTGCCGGGTCCTCGCCCCCGGGATGGCGGAGCCTGCGGGCCCCTTCCACGCCCTGTGGCACGGGGGGCACCAGTATCTGTGCTACTGCGCCGCGCCGGGGAGCAGCGGCTTCGATGTCTAGTAAGTGCGGGGCATTGACCCCCCCCCCGTACCCCGGGGGGCGCGAGGCTGCAGGGAGCCCCCCCTTCCAGCTCGGGGGGGGCGCCGCTGTGAGCCCCCAGCGCCCGGGGAAATCCCTCCCCCGCCCCCCGTGCGGTCCGCACGCCCCGGGGGGGGGCTGAGCCAAACCGGCGGGGTCCTGCTTCCCGGGGCGCGGGCGGCTACTGCCCCTCGGACGCAGCCCGTGGGGCGGGCGGGTTCCCGGGGGCAGCGCTGCCGAGCCCCCGCGCGTGGCTGGAGCCGCCTGGGGGCGGGGCGGGGCTCGATTTCCCCGCAGGGTTCTGCGGCGTGTGGGGTTAAAGGGCCGGGCAGGGGCTGATGCAAAGCCCCAGGTCCAGGCGGGGCGCCGGCTTCCCCGCGTCAGTAGCGCCTCGGGTGGCCAGAGCCGGTCCGGTTCTCGGCTGTTTCCTGCCTGTTCTCGCCTTGGGGGTCTCCCTTGGGACAATGGAGACGTGAGTCCGCCCGCCCGGGTCAGGCTCTCCTGCGTTAGCTCATGGCACCCGTGGCAACCCGCGCAAGAGAAGAGTTTAAATCCAACCCCAACATGATTCCCACTAAGAGACTAACCCGAGGTGGGAATCTCGGAAACACGAGTCCACACAGACCCGGCATCTAAATTCTGTGTGCCCCTTTTTAAAAACGAATGCCAGGGCCTGGATCTCAGTTTCCCCTCCACCTAGCAGCACAAAGGGAGTCCTTAAAGGGGACCTACATGGCATTTGGGCTTCATTGAGGGCCCCTTTGCACGGCCGGGAGGTTATAAAGTGACAACTGAGGAAGGAGAATACAACTCTCTTGATTTGAACTGTTCTGCTTTTTGTATTAAAGGGATGCCAACTAAAATTGCATTTCTGTCTGAATGATTGACATTCTCTTCTTACAACTCACACCCAGGGCTGTATCTGAAAGATTGGAGAAATAGCTCCTTTCTGACCTGTCCTACAGGTCACTGGTTCCCTGGTATAATGGGTTCCCAGCAGTTAAGTTACTTTCCCCTGTTTGGGCTGGTCTTCCCCAGAGTAAAAGAAGAGAGTAAAACAATTCTTAAACACAGGACAGTGTGATTGTAAAAACCACAGCTGGCACAGGGCCCCAAACTACTTCAACCATTTTTTTTTTTAATGGGCTAGATGTCACGTTGATAATGTCCCTTTAACTTCATCACGTCTTGTTTCCCCAGTGTAACCAATGCATCCGAGGTGTGGAGTACTGATTTCACCCTGGAGAAGCTGGAGGGACACGTAGGTAACAATTGTGCAGATTCCAACCTTGGGTGGCTGAGATGCTAGTCACAATGGGTACCACATACATCAAGTCAACTTAAAGGGGACCTGCAAATGTGGCGGGGACCAGGGGGTTGTTAAACTTTATACAAATGTTATAATTTAAGGAGAGCAATGTTTTAAAAACATGGATTAAAAAACAGCAGTTTGGCTCCTTTAAAAACATCACACTTGGCCTGAAAATAAGCAGAGAAAATCGGGGAAAAAATAATCCTAAGAAAACCAAAGTGTCCAATTATAACTTTAAAGGGTTATTATCCAAGCTTTTAGGAACAATAATTTATATTTATTGTGGCTGTAAAAGTAGGCTTGGCAGAATTCAATTTTTATTTTTTATAATTTTGATGGATAATATCAATGTTTATTTTAAAGAATTTTTTAATATTTTCATGGATTTAAATTTTCACAGTTGTGGGAAATTAGTGGGGGGTCAGACAATAATTAAATGACAGTTGATGTTGAGATTAAAAAGTTAATTGTTATAAAGCTTTAAAACACACATTGTCAGTATCACATGTCAAAATATCGAAAGTAAATATCCTTCAATCAACCTCTAATAAGTTCTCAGGTGGTATTTTTCTTACTTTGATAATAATCAAAACTTAGAGATAGGCAATGGAAATATTTTTCATCCGTTTGAGTGTATGCGCAGAAATCAGTGTTTACTGATATCCATAAACATTAAATCTTTCCAAACCTATGTATAAGTACCTTAATGGGGGAGAAAAAACCAGGTACTGAAGTGTCCTTCGGTCTAGTGGAGAAGGCCCTACAAGAACCAGCGTCTGGAAGTTAAAACCAGACAAATTCAGCTTAGAAACAAGGCCCGCATTTGTAGCGGTGCAGGTAGCTGTAAGATGCGCTCCATGTACCCCAGGGGGTACTTGCTCTCTGCGAGGTCATCCAGCAGTCATTTGGTCACTAATGATCTCTTTCGGTGGGAGGAAGGAATCCTCCTCTGCAATGAAGAGGCCGGTGTGATGTAGCTCAATGCCAATCCATAACTCTAGGGCCTTGTATGGCTGCTTCCACCGGTACAGAGTGGTTGTAAAATCAGAGGGTGCTTTGCACCCGCGCTCGCTGGTGTAAGTGGCTACATGCGGTAGAGCGGGATCAGGCCCCTTGTGTCTGTCATTGGCGGCTAAGCCTTCTTCTGGGGGTCTCTCTCTTTCAGAAGTCCCAGAGTGGGATGTGTCCTTCTGAAGATTACAGCACAAAGTTCAGGTGAGATCGTCCACCTGGGAATGAATAATCAGGGCTCGTTCCGGTGGGTCTGGAAACCCTTGTCTCACTCCAATCTCTTCCTTGCACAGAGAAGCTTTTGAGCACAGAGCAGCTGCCTTGACGGTG